CAAGAATTGCTACAGCCCTACACTGATGAGGAGATTTGGCTAGCATTGAAACAGATGGGCCCAAACAAGGCACCTAGAACTGATGATATGTAAGCTCGTTTCTTTCAAAAGAACTGGAGTGTGGTTGGACCAGCAGTCAAGGAAGAAATTAAGGGTTACATAGAGTGTGGAGAATTCCCACAACAAATCAATCACACTCTAATTACACTGCTTCCCAAAAAGAAGAAACCAGAGACCCCCCCTGGATTTCAGGCCGATCAGTCTATGCATGGTAATTTATAAGATAATGTCTAAAGTTATTGCTAACTGACTGAAAGGTATGCTAAATCATATTATAGGAGAACCCTAGAGTGCTTTTGTGCAAGGACGATATATCACTAACAATGTTTTGGTGGCTTTTGAGCTATTCCATACCATGAAATAGAAGACGAAGGCTAAGAAAGGTCTAATCTCAGCAAAACTAGACATATCTAAAACATATGATAGAGTTGAATGGACCTTCCTAGAGGCTCTCATGCTAAAATTGGGATACGCAGAATCATGGGTCAGACTAGTGATGAACTGTATCTCCACAGTTACATACTCTATACTAGTAAATGGACATCAGACAGAGCCTTTTAAACCATAACGAGGACTAAGACAAGGAGACCCTATCTCTCCCTACTTATTCCTATTTTGTGTTGAAGGCCTCTCAGCGATTATGACTAAAGCAGTGAGAGAAGGCAAGATTCACGGATTAAAAGCATCTGTTAGAGGGCCATCAGTTCTCACCTTTTATTTGCAAACGACAGTAAATTCTTTGCGAGAGCCACACCCCAGGAATGCAGTACCGTGAAGGAACTCCTCAAGCTTTATGAGTTGGAATCTGGACAAGTGGTGAACCTGCAAAAATCATAGATCAATTTTAGTCCAAGTGTTACAGACAACCAGAGAAATACTCTAGCTTTAGTCCTTGGAATGAAACAGGTCTCAGGTCATGCCAAGTATCTTGGCCTGCCCATAGTTAGTAAAATACGATACAGAAAAGTTACTAAAAAATACGTATGGGTATTATACTTCGTCTCTAAGTTAAAGTTACGTTTAATAGTACGTTAATATTCATAAATATATAAAATTAAACATTTTAAAAATAAATAAATAATAGTAAAGTTAACAATTTAATTCGTAAAATATGGATAATAAACGTTGGGGTTAATAGCATTTTGTACCCCTCTACTTTGATATATTAACAAACGTACCCCTCTACTAAATTTGTGCACGAACATACCCTTCTAATATTAAATCGTAACAAATTTACCCCTCCATCTAATTATCCGTTAAGTGACCGTTAAATAGACTGAGTAATGACCCAATTGTCCCTCATTTAGTCATGATTTCAGTTTTAATTATTTTATATTTTATTATATATGTCTAAGAGATCAATTAATTAGAAAAACAAAATCCTAAAGCTCATCTGGCGCCTGCTTCCTGACCACCTGCTTCCTCTGCTCCTCCGCCGCCAAGAACAAATCATCTGCCAACAACCTCTCCTTGAACGCACCGAACTGAAGCAGCCACCGCATCATCCCAACTTCTCCAGCTCCAAAAACCTCGAAACCGCCGACCTCGAATCCTCACGTCCTGGATCGCCACCGCCAGGTTCTTCAGCAGGCTCTCCAGCAACCTCCACGCCTCCGCCAGCACCATCATCGCGTTCACCATGTTCTTGTCCCCGTCAGAGGGCACCTCCACCCCTCCGTCGTCCTCTCATCCCCCACCGCCACCGGAGGCAGGTTACCGTTTGATTCTGCCGTTGTCGCCACCGTCGAGCAAGATGGAAGGAACAAACAGCGGGAGATTGTCAATTGGTGAGATGGCGGAAGGAAACAGGGGAGGAAGAGGGGTTGAGGCGTAGGGTTCGGAAGGGGATTGGAAAGAAGGGAGGTGGATGGGGGTTTGGCGGCGGAGGAAGCAGGCGTCGGGGGAGAGTTAGTTTAGGGTTTTGGTTTTTCTAATTAATTTATCTCTTAGAAATAAATAATAAAATAATTAGAACGTAAATTAGGATTAAATGAGGGTTAATTGGATCATTTCTCAGTCTATTTAACGGATAATTAGATGGAGGGGTAAACTTGTTACGATTTAATATTAGAAGGGTATGTTTGTGCAAAAATTTAGTAGAGAGGTACATTTGTTAATTTACCAAAATAGAGGGGTACAAAATGCTATTAATCCATAAACCTTTTATATGGATTTTATACGTGTTTAGTATGGGAGCTATCAAGTTATGGAAAAGTCATTCACTATCAATAGCTGCTAAAGAAGTCCTAATTAAAGCGGTAGCCCAAGCTCAAACTACCTACACTATGTCGGTTTTCCTAGTCCCACAGGGAGTGCTAGAGGAAATCAGAAAGGTCATATCAAGTTTCTGGAGGGGACAGCAAAAAGAGGAGAAAAGGATACCATGGAAAGCTTGGAAAAAGGTATGTAGACCAAAAGAAGAGGGTGGCATGGGGTTTAAGGACCTAAGAGTTTTCAACCTCGCGTTGTTAGGGAAACAAATTTGGAACTTATCTCAATCCAGATTCACTAGCAGCCAGGGTCCTAAAAGCAAAATACTAACCGAATCAAGATGTGCTACATGCCAATCTGGGAGTAAACCAGAGCTATACTTGGAGGAGTATAATGACTGCTCAACAACTAGTAAGGAAGGGAATAAGGTGGCGGATTGGGGATGGTACACATGTTAATATATGGACGGATGGATAGGTAGCAGGAGCAGAGGACATTGGGTTCAAAGTCACCTCTCCAAGCCCACGAACGATGAAATGGTACGGGTGGCTGACCTTATTGACCACGAGACTAGACAGTGGAAAAAACCATTACTTCAACGTCTGTTCAATCCAACTGACAGAGCAAGAATTGAATGATTCCCACTATCTCGTAACCAACTAGAGATGAAGAGGTATGGGCACATGAGAAAACCGGGATGTACTCTGTCAAAACTACTTACAGACTCTTCTACGGGGAAATGACAAAAGACCCTACTATTATTGAGGAGGATGATGCTGAAGAAGGGGAGGAGTTGACAGAGATGGAAGGAAACATTGAGACCTATGATCCCATAAACTAGAAACGTATCTGGAAGCTTGTGATTCCTCCCAAGATCAAGATATTCCTCTGGAAATTCATTCTCAATATTCTACCAAAGGGTAAGAACATCGAGCTTCGGAAAAAAGATGCACCTACTGAATGTCCCTTCTGCAATCTAGAGGAGACACAAAATCACATATTTAGAGAATGTCAGTGGGCATCTAGGGTTTGGCGTACTACAAGTTCCATACCACTTTTTGAATTAAAACCTACACTTTCCCCTGGAAGCTGGTTCTGTGAAGTCATGGAGAAAGTAAATGATGATACACTTGGGCAGATGGGAATGATCTTATGGGCGATTTGGACTGAACGAAACAACCATATTTTCAGCAACAAAAAGGCGCTGGAAGAGGAAATTGTGGGGAAAGCCCTACACTACTGGGAGGAATTCAATTCCTATCACTCTAAGGAAGCTGAAGAACCAAACAAAGTCAGACTTACCTGGGAACCGTCGATGACAGGGTGGATTAAGCTAAATGTTGATGCAGCGGTCTTCAAGAACGAAGGAACAGGCTATCGGGTGATAGCTTGTGATGCTGGAGGTAATATTTTGATGGCTGATGTTTGTAGGGAGAGAAATCGATGGTCTCCATAGCTGGCGGAGATTAAGGCGATTGCATTTGGACTTCAGCAAGCGGAGAAGCATGGGTTCACCTCCTTCATCGTTGAGACTGATTGTCATAGCGCATTTCTAGCTCCGCAAAAGGCGAATGTGACGAGGATAGAAGCTGGCTTTCTGATACGAGAGTTGCAAGCAGATGCTGCCCAATTGGGCTCGGTGAAATGGCAACTCACTAAGAGGGATTGCAACGGTGCGGCCCACTTGCTGGCCCATACCCAATGTAATTGGGACTCTAGGAACAATGTGTTTCCCGTCCTCCAGCTTTTCTCCTTGCTTTTCTAGATTTTGAGCCAATGAGGCATTAATAATATACAGATTTTACCTTAAAAAAATTCTATGATTTTTTAAGGGAAGATTAACACTCATTTGACAACAAGGATGACAACAGATAAATATTTATATTAGAAGGACTATGTTAAGAAAACAATAGTATATATATCATGATAATAAAACCTTCATAGTTCAGTGACCCAATATGCAATTAACCAAAAAAAAAAAAAAAACCTTGACGGCTTGACCCCTTAAAAACAGTACCAATGCGCTCGCAGCCAAAACCCCTAGGGGTGGTTAAACGGTGTGGTTACCGTGGTAACCGTTTTAACCGATACTATTTGGATAATTTGGTTTGGTTAATTTGGATAATTGGTTTGTTTGATTAAAGTTTTTAGCTTGTTTGGTTTGGTTTCAGACACTCCTAACCAGCCAAACCAAATTAACCAGATAAATAATTAGCCATATATCTAATATATACACATACTTAATACTTTGAATAACCACTCAAGAGTTAAACATTCATCCTTTTAGACTCATAAAATATGAAGCTTGATATTGTTCCTATAATGTATATTTATATATGTAGAGTGTAGACCACAACGTATGAACGTCTAATTTAGATAAATCTCATACATTATGTTGGATGAAAACTTGAAAGTAAGGTCATTTTCAGCCTATGAAAATTGCATGTATTTATATTAAGAGTCAACTATAACTATGTGTTTATTGTTATGTTTTATTTACTATATAAATTGTGTATTGATAGATTTAGGGCTGGTAATCGATCGGTAACCGGTTAATGGTATACCGAGTCACGGTGAGTGGCTGCCGACTACCGATACCGGGTTCCTACCGGTTAATTGGCTAACCGGCTAGGCGGTTACCGGTTACCAAGCCAGTATACCGGAAATAATCGCACACAAGAGAGTCTTGCGATGGGTCACTCTTCCGAAGGTCTTCCTCCCGTCCTTCGCCCTCTCTAGCCTTTCCGCCAACGAAACCTTCTGATTCCGAACTCCCTTCTGCTCGCGTTCGGGGCTCCACTTGCTCGTCATCCATTGCATGTCTATTTCTACATGTAATTCCCTAATTTTCTGTACCAATGCTTTGATTGATATATGGTAAGGTTGAATTAGAATGGAGGAGAAGGATTATGAAATCAAAATTGGTGTATTTTTCAGGCTTGTCGTCGTTCTCCTCTCGAAACCTCTTCGACGGCTCAATCGGATATCGGAGATGTCCCCGCCAGAATTGCCCTCGTCGCTAGAAGGGGGCTGGCCAAGACAGGGAACACCGACAGTGAGCTTTACCGGATATGGAATCGAGACAGAGTGAGAACCGCCGCGGGAGGGAGACAACAACACACCAAATCTGACCTCGAGATGAAGAGAGAGCCACCGCGCGAGGGATTTGCACGGTGCCGGATCTCGAATCAAGAGGGAGAGGAAGTCGCCGGATCGGGTTATGGGTTCGAGAGGGAGAAGGAGTCACCGGATCGAGTTCTGGGTCTCCACAACGGCAGCGGCGGCGGCGACAAAGGAGTCCAGAAAGGCGGTGGCTGGGCGAAAAATAAATCCATCGCTCCTGCCCTCTCTCCGGCGACGGCATGGTTCAGATTAACAAATCGAGAAAGTGATGAGGGGATTTCATAGAATCTCTCATGGTGAAGGTTCTGTTTGTGGAGGAAAGAGATAAATTTTTTGAGGGAGATGGAGAGAGAGGAGCGAACAGGGTAGAGGAAGAGGAGTGAAGTGAACTGATCGACAGGGGAGGGTTTTTGCCTATGTCGGTATACTCGGTTATACCAAGTAACCGACGGTTACTTACCGGTAGGGGTGGGCATTGGGTGGGTCGGGTGGATTTTGACCATAAAATGCACCCACCCGCGCTTAAGCGGATTGCTAATTTTTAACCCACCACCCACCCACATTTAGTCTCAGGTTGGGTCGGGCGGATGGTGGATGACGCGGGTGGGTTTGTGGGTTCACCCACATCACAATGTATAAAATATAAAGGAGTCAACTTGACATGATAATAGGTGAAGAGAATCATCGAGGGAAACAAGAAGTTGAAATAGGGCGAAAAATGTCGAATTAGTTCTTAAATTGGATAGAAATTCTATTGTGAAAGAGTTTTCTACAGATTGAGACCATTAATAGGTGCAAGGAACTAAGAAAAATATTTCCACAAAGGAAAGAGCGGTGATCTAGGCACAAGAATTAGAGGAAAAAGTAAAGGGAAGAAGAGGGGATCTCTATTTGGAAGGTTGGCTTTGAGGTTCAAACTCCAGGAGCAGTCCGAGTTTATATCTAACGTCTCTACTCTCCTCTCTCTAGCGCCAACGACTTTGATCTTTTTGTTGTTGGGTTGAGCGGGTCACCCGCACACTCACCCACAACCCACCCACCACCCGGCGGATGGCTCCCAGTGCAACCCGTCACCCACCCACAGACCCACCCACTTAACGAAATTCGGGTCAAATGCGGGTGGGTCGGCCCAAACCTGCGGATGATCCGGCCACATGCTCAGCCCTACTTACCGGGTGCGGGTCAGTATACCGACAGTTGGGTTTCATCTGCCGTATACCGATACCGCCGGTTAACGGTAACTGCCGGTTATCGGTACGATTAACGGTTAAACCATTAACCGGCTTACCGGTTACCAGGCCTAGATAGATTAACCGAATTTTTTCTCATTTAATGATAATGTGATTTTATATTGGTTAATCTGGTTAACCAATTAACCAAACCGATGAAACTTTAGTTTGGTTAATTTGATTGTTGTATTAGTTTGGACGGTTTGATTATGATATTGTATTCCATGGTTAATAAAATTTTGCTTTATTTGATTTGGTAATTACCATGGTAACCATTTGAACACCCCTAAACCCCCAAAAGCTTCAGATAGTTCGATAGTTCCCGGTAGGGGTGGGCATTGGGTGGGTCGGGTGGATTTTGACCATAAAATGCACCCACCCGCGCTTAAACGGATTGATAATTTTCAACCCACCACCCACCCACATTTAGTCTCGGGTTGGGTCGGACGGATGGTGGATGATGCGGGTGGGTTTGTGGGTTCACCCACATCACAATGTATATAATATAAAGGAGTCAACTTGACATGATAATAGGTGAAGAGAATCATCAAAGGAAACAAGAAGTTGAAAGAGTTTTCTACAGATTGAGACGATTATTAGGTGCAAGGAACTAAGGAAAATAATTCCACAAAGGAAAGAGCGGTGATCTAGGCACAAGAATTAGAGGAAAAAGTAAAGGGAAGAAGAGGGGATCTCTATTTGGAAGGTTGGCTTTGAGGTTCAAACTCCAGAAGCAGTCCGACTTTATATCTAACGTCTCTACTCTCCTCTCTCTAGCGCCAACGACTTTGATCTTTTTGCTGTTGGGTTGTGCGGGTCACCCGCACACTCACCCACAACCCACCCACCACCCGGCGGATGGCTGCCAGCACAACCCGTCACCCACCCACAGACCCACCCACTTAACGAAATTCGGGTCAAATGCGGGTGGGTCGACCCAAACCCGCGGATGATCCGCCCGCATGCCCAGCCCTACATGATACTATACCCTAACCCTTAATGAGTGAACCCTAGGTCCTAATTATCTAAATCAAAAACTATAAACCCTAAGATGGTGCATTGAATTTTTTGCCTATATTTGGATGAATCATAACCGTCGATTATTGTTTCTAATTAAATTGATCTTGGGGTATAGTTTTAGAGAATTAAGACCTAGATTTTGATTTTTAAGGGTTAGAGTATAGTACAATGTCCGAAAGATCAGTCAATTCAAATTATGCATAGCGTTTTCTTACTCAAGTTATGCGATACCCCGAATTTTACCCTGATATCTAAAAACTACCCATAAATAGTTTAGCGAAATAACAAATCTACCATGTTTATAAAAATACCACATCAACAATTAATCACTTAACAAATAACATATCTCAGTAAACAATTCAGCCAATCGACACCTAATTGTGCTACCACTTTTGGTAAGTGCTCTCTGGACCACCATCCTACGACATTATTAAAATGAAGCTAAACCAAGATTTGGTGCTTCTTGGACTCTGGAAACATAAGTTGTTTTAAACTTTAAACCCTTTTGTCTTCCACGCTAAACAAACCCCAAATCCAGCTCAAAGTTGCAAACTTTTCTTCATTAAACACACCAATATGAGCCTTCTCCTCTACTTCATTTCATTGCATGGGATATACATATAAATAGTAACATAACCCCAAATACAGAAACAGGAGAGATCAGGAAGAATAAGTTCAGTCTCTTTTAGTTGTTCCTTGAAGATGATGAGAGTACAGTAAAATGGATAAGAACAAAGGGATATGATTGGAGGAGGTGACATCTCATATAACAAATTGCAGTCCCTTAAAAACAAAATTTTGATTAGCCTTTTTATTATTTATAGATAAGAGATCTCAACAAATAGGTGACAGTATGGCTGTATGGGGGATTGCTGTTTTCTTCTTCTGGGTATTTATTGCCCACCTCCCCCATATTCATTACAGTTGACCCTTTCATCTCATCTCACTGATTTAGCTTTGCTAGCTAGCTGCCACTACCATTGAAGTTCACCCTCTTTTTTTCTTTTGGAATTATACAACAAACAAATGCCAATCTATCTTCTTTTCCTGATAAGAATCTTCAAAGTGCAAAAAAATAACCCAATCCAAAGACAATCCCCAAATCTCAGATCACCCATCAAAATATAAACAATGGCAATTTAATTAGCAGGCATTAACACCATAACATAAATGATAGAAGTAGAACACATTAAAGTTGATACAACAAAAGGATCATTAGTTGAACATTTTGTTCCTTTACTCTCTAATCCCTCTCTCATCACCATTAGCAATTAGTTTTACTCATCACTAATTAGGGAGCTGAAACAAAGCAGGTAGCCCAAAATTAAGCCCCACATCAACAACAACAACAACAACAAACACAGAAGTAAACCAACCCATTAGAGACTAGCTACCTACCTTGAACAATTTTCCAAGTGAAAATCTACAGATCTTCAATACGAAGGAGAAGACCTAGGAGCAGCAGTAGCAGCAGCAGCAGCAGCAGCAGAAGGGCCATGGAGATGAACTTTGCTCTCAAAGACGTTAGTGTCAAATCTAACCCTACCCTCGTAGTTACCACCATCTCCAATGGTACCATTAAGATCGTACTTAACGCTAACAACATGATGATTACCATTATCATCATCTTCCTCTTCTTCTTCTTCATCATCTTCTTCTTCATCCCCATCATCATCAAAATGCTCATGCCCAATGTTGCCATTCCCACCACCACCACCACCACCGCTGTTGCTGTTGTGGTGGTTGTGGTTGTTTCCATTACTGCCCTTATCCTTCCTGTGTTTGTTGTTATGCATCCAGACCTTGAACACGTTCCTCCTAACCCCGATCTGGCTGCAGAAATCACCCACAATCTTGTCCTCTTTCCCCCTCAGCATCTTCCACCCTAATTTCTCCGCAAAATCCTGCATCCTCGCCTTCTGCTCCGGCGTAAATCTGGTTCTCGCCCTTTTCCTCAGCGAACCCATTTCCCCCAGATTCGCGTTCTGAACCGCCTGATTCCGATAGTGGGGGTTCGAATCGCCTGGGCAGAGAGGCTCGCCGGCGGCGGAGCTGAGGGCGAGGAGCATCTGGGGTGCGGAAGGGTAGACGGAGTGATGGGGAGTTGGGGAGGCGGCGGCGGCGGCGCCGGGGGGAGAAGGAGTCGGGCTCGGCGCGCCGCCCGAACTGGTCTGACCCGGGCTGGGGCTGGAGGAGTGGCGGTGGTGGTGGTGGGTGGTCCACTGAAGAGCAGGGAGCTGAATGTGGTGGTGGCCGGAAGAAGGGTGGCGGCGGTGGAAATTGCGGTGGCAGCCGCAGGCGGCGCATTTGAGGGAGGTGGGGTGGAGAGGGGAAGCATCTGGTGCGGGCATGAACTCGCCGCAGCCGTCCAGAGCAAGGCCGCCCATGGCGGCGGCGTGGTTCTTGAGGCATTCTCGGTAAGAGACGATCATGGTCTGGCGGTGGCGGAGAGGAGGAGGCGGCGGCGTTGGAGAGGTTTTTGCGGATGTTTGCAGGAGGGGGAAGTTGATGATGGTGCTTAAAGGGTGGATAAGAAGAATAAAAGGAAATCTTTAGGTCGACGAGCGAGGGGGAAAAAAGGTCTAAATCTTTTTGTAAGTGAATAAATTAATGTGTCAAGTTATTTAATTGGTGATTAAGGGGCGGCCCGTCAGAGTGTTAATGTCGTAATTAATGATGAGTGGTTTAATTAGGGAAAAAGACAAAGAAGAAGGAGGAGGGGAAGGTTGATTGTGATTAGGCGTTGGGAGGGGACACTTGGTGGGGAAGTGTTGATTTGAGGGGCCACGTATGTGTTAATTTGGGATTATACCCACTACACGTGTTTTGCAAACAGCAGAAGTAGGAGCTTGAATTGGAAGTCGAAACCCTCTAATTTCATTTCTGCCACACGCCATGTTATTTTGTTGTTTCTTTAACCCAACTCTTCCTTCTTTGGTTTTATGTTTTTTTCCATTTTACTTATGATAATAATTGACTTGTAGCATTTTCATTTACTTTGTTAATTAATAGACTCGTTTGTGCTTTGACAAAAAATAATAGACTCGTTTGTGTTTTGGGCAATGGTCTATAGTTACAATTCGGGTTGGCAACGATTCGGTTCATATCAGATCAATCGATATTTGAATTGAATAGGAGCGCATTGAATATATTTCAATTCAATTTTGGACTTATGAATTATTTATAAAAAAAATGGTCCGAGATTGAATTTGGACCGAACTTAATCAAACTAATAAACCCAACATGCTTTGGATATGTTCTAGTCCTCATTTTTCCTTATGTTCTAGTCCTCATTTTTCCTTTATTTTTGGTCAGATCTTATCTCAATCGATCCGGTTCTTAACCGAATTGATCGATACCCATCCCAGCTACTAGGGATGGGAATCGGTATATCAATACCAAATACCGAAATTTCGAATACCGAATTACACCCTAAAATCAATCACAGTCTCAATCCCTAAATAATTTTGGTATCCCAATTCCAATCCCTAAATATTTTGGTATCCCAATCAGTACTTTGGTATCCCAATCGGTATTATCGAATACGAAATTAATTATCTTTGTAATTAATAATGAAATATGTAAATTAGATTTGACTGTTTAATTTAGGGCAAAGAGACTAAGTAAAGAGTCTTGATTTTGCCTAGAGCTATGATATAGATAAAGAGAATGGAGGAGAGGTGACATCTCAAGTTCTTGTCGTTGGTAATTTTTAATTTGACGAATTGGAGGTTGAGAGACAACTAATACTAGTGTTTGCTTTTTGGTGTTATGAAAATAACAAGTGATTAGGTGAGAGACATGAGTGACTTAAATTGGAAAGTCAAAAAATGAGTTGGACGGGGACTTCTAAGTTGTGAAATAGTGATGGAATGATCTATATATAATAAAATGACACTCTTGGTGGTTGAGGATCATGTAGTAGTGAATGAGAGAGTCTAGTTGCGAGGACAAAAGACACACTAGCTTATATTTCGGCATTGATCGTTATTTTGGTATATACCGATCACAATCCCGTAATCCCTAATACCGAATTACAATTGAAATTAAATCTCAATTTCAACCCCAAAAAATAATACGTGTATTCAGTAATACCAAATATAAACAAATTCGATACAGTATTCGGTTATCCCAAATACCGGTATTAAACTTAAGTCCTACCAGTTACAACACCAACACATACATATTCTTGGAAACATACGACGATACTTTGGGGTGGTTTTGAAATTAATTTTAATTGGTATCAAGTGTGTGGATCTTGAGGGGGTAATTAACGAATCCTCTCTTACATTACATAACAAGGTAGCTTCACTTGCATACTACACTTTTTTTTTTTAACAGTTCTAAACGGCAAGGCCAACCAAAAATGATACGAGCAAAAGTTACAAGGGTTAGAAGACCCAAAGAAAAAAAAAAACCTAAAATACAGTCTGGAACCCAATAGGACCAAGGACAAAGCATTATCAAAGTCCTACAAACGCTAGCCGCCTCTTGTATCCCTCTAGACCCTCCACTTCAGTGGCAGAACCTCAATCGCCACTTGATCGTGCATGCACCGCCGACCCCCACCAGCCACCGCCACTACGTGCCAAGGAGGGATCTGATTCATCCGAACTCGGATGGTGGGATGAGGAAGGACGCCTTCCAAGCAAACCACCCCGAGCCAAATCGCCATCTGCCTTCCGTCAAACCAACACAAGGGAAAACATCAAAGAGACCCGACGAAGGAACCAGAGGGACGAAATTAAATCATCTGCCTTCAAGCTCTCCAGACTGTGTCTTTGCCAAATGTTGCATCTCTGAATCACCAAGCTCTGCAAAGTGAAACAAAGAGGTAGAAAAGGAAAGAAGAAGAGAAAACAAGCCAGATCTATGAAAGATCTAGCCTCCATTTTGCATCTAAGATCGGGCACATCTCCATATATGAAACAACATATCTGAGGGGAAAAGATCAACCCACTAAAGAGGAGGAAGAAATTCTAGCAACGGAAAAGAAAAGCACCAGAAGGGCAGAAACCAAAGCAAAAGAAAAGAGGAGAGAACCGACGAAAAGCAAGGAGAGGACAAAACAAAAGAAGAACATGAAAAACGAAACGAAAAGGGGAAGAGGGTTACCACCGGTTGCTTAAGGAACGCCGACGGCAGCCCCAACACTGTCTGAAAATTGATTTATGCTTTCTAGAGAGAACTTAAAGAAAATAAAGAGAGGAGTCACACCCCCCCCTAATGGGATTACCTGCAAACTATATTCAAAATTCGGTAATTACATAGCATAGTACATCTAGGATGGGCTTAGTTAACAACTTGATGGTGCTAATATCCCTCCCACTCATACATAACGGTGTCAATCGTGTGGGTTCGGGGCAGGTTGAGGTTGGATTCAATAAGGTTACGGGTTAGTTGAATTTTGGGTTCATCGACTTTCAGGTCATTCGAGTTCGAGTTTATCGGTTTTGGGTTAGGCGGGCTATGAGTTGATTGGGTTATGGGTTAGTCTGGCTGTGGTTTATCGGTTTGCAGGTCAAACAGGTTTCAGGTTGATCGGGTTACCGATCAGGCGGGTTGCGGGTCGTTTAGGTCAACATATTGTGTTACTTACTCTTTACTCATTACTGTAATTTCAAACACTTTTTCGCAATTTCAAAAAAATTTATTTCTACCTCATATATGTACTTATAAAATTTATTTTAGTAGAAGCACTAATAAAAGTTAAAAAAAACTTGACAAAGTGCTTAATTAATTTTGTATCCTTTTAATGATTGGGTTATTACACTCGTATGACTTAACTTACCAAACTTAACTCTCATTTTGAAACCAATATGCAACTCGATCACAACTTAAATGGGCAATATCGCTTCATCGTTGTAAAACAACGATAATATAGTGTAGAAGTTGCCGCAAAAGTAGAAGCATAGAAAACAAGTACACACATTAAGTGAAGTTTTTTTAATTTAGTTATTAAATCCATAAACAATCCTAAACATGTATCTTAACTTCAAATTATATAACATCATACCCTAAAACTAATCAAACTAGTTCATACACCTCGATAAGTACGTTGTTTATCAGAAGTTGTTAAATTGGTTCATATAATGGGTGCTAGGTTATGTGTACCATAAAGTAAACGATTGCTTGATTGCTTTATTATGATAAGATGACTCATGACATATTCTCAAATACATGTAATCCAATTAGTCATGCCCTATAAGACTATAACCAGGTTTACTATAGACAATGTCTTAGTTACTAAATGATAAACACTTAACTCATAATCTATTAAGATTGTGATAATTACATTAACAAATAATTAAGCATATTATCTCTAATGTAAAATAGCATGCATTTGAAATGGTTCGAGTAACGTTATTGGATAGGATCATGGTATGTCTCAAATATACTATATCCAATTAGTCATGTCCTATAAGGCTGTTATAAGATCTACTATAGACAATATCTTAGACTTAGTCACTAAATGTTAAATTCCAAAACCTTCACATGTAAATATTGTGATAAGAAAATTGATAAGTAATTAAGTACATGATTTATAATGTAAAGTAATCTGCATTTGAGATAGTTCAAGTAATGTTATATTGAAGATGGGATAACTCATGGTAGGTTCTCAAATATAATATGGCCAATTATTCATTCAATATAAGGCTATAATATAGTGAATTAGTCATGTCTGTCTCATAGAAATTCAAGATTCATATTTGAAAGACTAAAACTTGAAAATACTAAAAAGTTGAAAGCACCAAAAACATTTCTTATTTCTTTACACAAAATATTGAAAATACAAAATGTTCTCCTTCTTTCTCTTTTTTTTTTTCCCCGGTAATTCTCATTCTCCTTCTTTCTCTTTCCATATATAAAAAAGCAAAATTTTCCACTTGTTTGTCTTCCCATAAATCAAAAGCACAAAAAAAAAAAAAATTGAATCCGATAATCAATCAAGCAACAATGCACAAGGGAAGCATAGCAAGAGATTTCTCGGTACATGGTCGAAAAACTAGGGATTTCAAAATCCGCCACCATCAAGCCCTTTCGAATGCTCATTGTCTTCATTGTTGGTCAGTGTCGCCCCGTTCTCTCACTACACCAGCTCTTATTGAACATCGCCAAGGAAAGGCAAATCTTCCTAAATCTTTAGATAGTTAACTTTTGTGTTGCAAATCCAAGGTGGCAAGTGAAGACAAAAATTCAACACCTCACCATTTTAGTAATGCATTTGTCACAATGTCATTAAAATTATTGACAAAATGACCATATTTGTGTTTTTTTTTTTAAAAAAAGTGGACTATTATTATTAGTAGTATTATCACAAAGTATAAAATTATAACTATCCAAATGGATTTTCCCTTCTTTTATCCAACATCGTATATAGTTTGTGATGACTGGATTTTAAATGTAGATAGATACTATATCAAGACATATG